AATCCTTGGAGTTTACTCCCAAGCATTTGGTTTCTTATCCCAAGGTTTCTTTGGGTCCTGATGAAAAAGGAGATTACAGACATCCTGGATCTGCATGATTGTCAGCCTCCACAGGATTTGGCGGATTTCTCACGTTTGTGAGGAGTTGGGGGTTTGACAGGAAAAAGAGTGAATTCTGAGGTATTGATAGAATGAAGGGAAATTGAAACGCTGATAAGGGCTGCGAAGTCGCCACGTGTAAATTACGAATCACTGGGGGGTAATCCAAGACTCGTGGAAATAATTGCCTTATTTATTTGAGTGGTCAGAAAACAAATGTTGATTAAAGGTGGAAAACCAAGGAGAAGATGCAGGGACAGGACTAGGACCATGAGATGAGTCACAAGAGGCGCGATGCCACTGACACCAAGAGACATTGTCAGTGACATCAGTTGACTTGGGATTAGTAATATTGTGATAGCTGGAAAACCCAGGTGAGTTCAATGAGGAGGTGGTTCCTGCCATTATGGTTGTTATGGCATCATTTAAAGTTCAGTGATTACAGAAACTGAGTCCCATGAAGGGGCCATTAGGGAAGTTGTATTGAATAAAAGGTGCACATGAATCCTGATTCATAGATGGTGGGGGCAGGGAGAACTTCCTGTAACAATCGAGCACTGAGTTGGGAGGGGTCTTGGAAGGGAGTATGTGGGACAATGCTCAATCCATCTGCAACGATCCTATTTTCCAAATCAGGTCACATTCTCAGATACTGGGGGATAAGACTTTCACGTATATTTTGGGGGACACAATTCAACCCATAACAGACCCAGAAACCACTGGAGTTGCATTTTCAGTCTTGGGTGAAGATGAAATTAATGATGGGATAAATGCATTCTGTGGATAAGGTTTTACCTTCAGGTGCAAGGTCATGTACTAAATAGTATACTTGTGGCTTACATAGTTGTAATTTGTCCCCAGATATCTTGCGTCCCTATGGGCAAGGGCACGGGGTAGATATTGAGTGGCAGTGAGTGAGCTGTTGAAATGAACAGAACAGACGAGAAGATGATCCACATTTTGGATTAGAGAGGAACTGCAAGAGAAAACCAAATCCTTCAAATTTACATTCAGCGTCTGAAAAAAGTAAGTAGGAACTTCAGTGAGTCCTTGAGACATACCTGTCTGTGTATATTGTTGACGTTCCCAGGTGAAAACAGAGAGACTGTGAATTGGGGGGTGTTGGAAGGAATAGAGGCTGGCCAGGAAGGTGTATGGATCGGGAGCTCTCGGGAACCAAGGTTTGACTATTTTATTTATGGCCTAGAGGTCTTGGACTAGCCAGTATCCCAATGGAAATATTGGGGTTCTTCTTGGTTCCCTGATCAGGGATTGAACCCAGGCCCTCGGCAGTAAAAGCGCAGAGTCCTAACCACTGGACTGCGAGGGAATTTCCAACACTGGGGTTCTTGACAGTCAAGATGGGAGTGTTGCAGGGGCTGGAGGTGGGTATGAGGAGGCCTTGAATGATGGGTTGAGTGTGTCAGAGCGTGTGAAGGTGGTTTCAGGAGGGACATGAAAAAAATCTATTTCCATTTTAAGAGGCTCAGCCTCTGAGATGCATCCTATGTTTGCTGAGTTGGAGGCCCAAAGAGAATCACGGGTTGGGGTCAGCATATCTTGACTCTGTGGGCCTCAGGGAGAGGTTGATGGGTTTTTTTCTGGGGGGTGAGGGAGATTAGTGACCTAAGATGGACAGTGGCAGTCAGGGACTGGGAAAAATAGGCTCTCTTGTGAACATGAAATGTAAATGTTCCCAAATGATAAAATATCCCTTCCTGAAAGACTTATTGGAATAATCTGAGTAAGGAACTGTGCTGGGTAGTAAGGGGCCTAACGAGACGGACGGAGAGTGGCTTAGACAACGGTGTGGCAAATTGTGGCATCTCATGGCAATCATTGCTGGGCAGGGGGCTTCTCTGGTGGTGCAGTGGTTAAGCATCTGCCTGCCAATGCAGGGAACACAGGTTTGAGCCCTGGTCTGGGAAGATCCCACATGCTGCGAAGCAATTAAGCCCATGCGCCACAACTACTGAAGCCCGCGCGCCTAGAGCCCGTGCTCTGCAACAAGAGAAGCCACTGCAGTGAGAAGCCCACACACCGCAACGGAGAGTAGCCCGCAAGAAGCAAGCCACTAAGAAGCAACGAAGACCCAACGCAGCCATGAATAAATAAATCAAATAAATAAATTTAAAAATCATTGCTGGGCACCAAGGGAGGGTAAGGGGTTGGGGGGACTATGAGATACTTAAGGGGGAGGGGTGGCCCCTGTAATCTACAAAGCCGGGCTATCACGTCCATTAATGAGAATGGCCATTTCCCTCTGTGAGTTGAAGGGTGTTTTTGGACACAGAGGAAAAAATCCGCTGGGAGTCCCTGAGACTGAATCCAATTCCGTTTTGTATTTTAAAGCTGGACCAGTCTCAAATCCAATGTCCGTTTTCTTTACAGTACCTATAGCTGTCTCTATCAAGTTTTGGTTTAGTGTTTTGTGATGGCCCTGATAGGATGGACCTTTTTTTTTTTTTCCTCTCCCATTGTTTAAGTAGCAGGGTCTTAAACTGGATTGTGTGGATATTTTTTTTTTCCCTGCATCCTCATGGTGGGCTCTCTTGGAGTTCTGGAATCAAGGCATTTCTCCAGCTAACATGGTGTTTTTCATCATGTCTCTAATTTTTGGTCTCAGAATGTTGACAAAACTCGTGGCCACGATAGAAGCAGTGTGACTGTCAAGGACCAGGCCTTTCCATACATTTCCTGGACTGGCTGTATCACTGCAGTTGGATTTGGGTCTCTGTTGTCTACACTCCTGGATTTTAGACCAGTCAGTTTTAGGAGAAGCATTCAGGATGGAGTCTAAGAGACATTTATTCCCCCATAGTATTGGCTTGGATTATGCCTCGGAGGTGTTCTGGCTCATTTGGAGATCCTCATTGACTGAAGTTCATTTAGCTTTTTCAAACTAAAGAGGTGCAACTCCGGAACCGACCAGCAGATGGACTAATTGATATAAATTGGAAAGACTTGGAGCGTAAGCTCTGGGTACTAGCCTAAATTGGCTGCTAAATACCACCCTGTTTTTATGGGGCTCAGGAAAATCTCTAACTACGGCGTGTAACTCCAAGCGAGGCCAAGGTGTAAAGAGAACTTGTCTAAGTGCATGCTCTGATTGCTTGCTTTCAGCTGTAGGGCCAAAAATCTGAGTGAACAATGGGGAGCTAGGGAGCTGAAGGGCAGGGGTCAAAGGAAGAGAGAGGTTCCCTCTGTCTACAACCTCAGGGCCAAGGTGAACCTTAAGAAGTCAGCTCAGGGACTTCGCTGGTGGCCCAGTGGTTAAGACTCTACGCTCCCAATGCAGGGGGCACAGGTTCGATCCTTGGTCAGGAAACTAGATCCCGCATGCCGCAACTAAAGATCTGCATACCGCAATGAAGATCGCGCATTACGCAACTAACACCTGGTGCAGCCAAAATAAATAAATAAATATTAAAAAAAAAAAAGCTCAGAAGAGCTGCCCCACAGACCCCCAGGTTCCCTCTAGGCTGCCCCACCCTCTTGGGCTCTCCCATTCCAGCCCTCCCCACTCTGGGTCATCACAGGGAACAGGTCTGTCTCCCCCACTGGATGGTGAACCCCCCTGAAGGCAGGACCTGGGCTGTCTCAGTCACCACCGTGTCCCCAGTATCATCCAGCACAGTGTGACAAATGGATGAACCAACGAATGAGCACATTCAGTGTGTAGACAAGTCATCGCATCAATTTAAAAGAAAATACCAACTATTGTGTATCAGCTTTCTACCATGGACCAGACTTGTGCTAACTGCATTGTTATTAATAGTTGTGATTAGTAGCAATAACACCAAATAAAAAATTAAACCGTTAAGCCATGAGATTACTTGCTTTTCTATAAATCCTCCCCCCCTCCGATCACATTCCTACCATCTCTCCTCCATTACTCTTCCCTCTCCTCTTTTTTTTTTTTTTTTTTTTTTTTTTTGCGGTACGCGGGCCTCTCACTGCTGTGGCCTCCCTGTTGCGGAGCACAGGCTCCGGACACGTGGGATCCTCCCAGACCGGGGCACGAACCCGCATCCCCCGCATCGGCAGGCGGACTCCCAACCACTGCGCCACCAGGGAGGCCCTTCCCTCTCCTCTTAATGCTCCTCCATACTGTTCCCCTTCTAGTCCTCCCTCCTGGCGGTACTCCCTCTGTATATATATATATATATATATATATATATATTTTAAATTAATTTATTAATTAATTTATTTTTGCCTGCGTTGGGTCTTTGTTGCTGCACGCGGGCTTTCTCTAGTTGCGGCGAGCCGGAGCTACTCTTCGTTGAGGCACGCGGGCTTCTCATTGCTGTGGCTTCTCTTGTTGCAGATCATGGGCTCTAGGCGCGCGGGCTTCAGTAGTTGTAGCACGTGGGCTCAGTAGTTGTGGCTCACACGGGGTCTAGAGCGCAGGCTCAGTAGTTGTGGTGCACGGGCTTAGTTGCTCCGCAGCCTGTGGGATCTTCCCGGACCAGGGCTTGAACCCCTGACCCCTGCCTTGGCAGTCGGATTCTCAACCACTGCGCCACCAGGGAAGCCCCCTGTGTATATTTTTTACCCCAGGTCTCCTCTCCCTTCGGTGCTCCTCCCCCATCCCTCCTCATCCCATCTTCTTTCCAGGTGAACTCCATCTGGGTGAACAACAAACTAATGATAGGAGAGTGCGGTGTGGCCAAAGATCAAGGCCATTGGGCCAGGGATGAGTCCGTTTTAATTGCTGGGGAATTAGCTTTGTAAATACCCCCGGCCCCTGCCCCCAGCCCCGCCATGCCCCTCCCCCGGGGCGTGTCCAGTTTGGGCTGGAAGCTGCTTCCCCTAGAACAGTCATCGCTGGGAAGGCGTGGAGGGCCCTCCGAAGACAGGAGGAGAGCATCACGAGGCAGCCAGGGCGGGAGCACGAGGCGTCAGAGGACACTGATGCGCTCGGCCAGCCCCTGCATCTCGTGGTCCCGGGGTGGGAGGCTCCCGCCGAGCTCCCCGTCTGCTGGCAACCCCGGCCCGGGCAGTGGGTGCTCTGCCACGAACTGCTCCCAGCGCGCATCATCACTCTCGTGCGTGATGTACCGTTCGCCCATCTTCCCCTCCAGCTCTCGGAGGTCCAGCCACGTCTGGTACTCCTGGGCGGAGGAGAACAGGGGTTAGTTTGGGTGCTGCACCAAGGGCACGCAATAGCGGCCAGAGCCTCGCCCCATAAGACCTGCCCTGCCAGTGAGAAGCCCGGTACGAGGGAAGGTGAAGGCACACCCTTCACAACCTACCCAGCCAATTAGCTCCACCCCCTTCTACAGCCCAGCCAATGGGAGGCTCAGCCACGTTCCACGTCCATGAAAAATGTACCTACCTCCTTCACTACCTTAGCAGCCAATAAGAGATATGGCTCCACCCCTTCCTCTAACCCAGCCAATGGGCCAGCCCCTCCCACTTCGCTCTCAGCCCCGCCCCTGCATCACCTGTAACCAGGGGTGGCTGAGAGACTTGTCCACGCTGTAGCGCTTGCGCATCTTCACCTGCAGCAGGTTGTTGATGAGGTCGATGGCTGCACCGGAAGGAGAGAGATGGCTCAAGCCCTGCGGGGTGTGGGGCCGTCCCTCCAATAGGAATCCCAGCCTACTAGCCTGCCATCCAGGCCTTCTGCGCTGGCATGGAAGCCTCACCTGCACTAATCGCTCACCCACCCATTTCCTCATTACATTACACATTTATCCCCACCCCTCACGAGGCACACACACTAGATCCTCCATCTCTTCTCCAGGTCTCTACCTCACCATTCCTATGTCACCTTCTTAAGTTCTGTCATACACAAGTACATACAGGATCTTCGCTTGCAGGATCTCAGTTCCCTGACCAGGGATTGAGCCTGGGCCACAGCAGTGATAAGCGTGGAATCCCAACCTCTAGACCACCAGGGAGCTCCCAAATGATTGTCTTAACTAACCTCCCTCCCACACTTCCTGTCTTCCTGAGCTTCTGGCTTCAGGACCTGCCCCTTGTTCTAACTTATTTAAGGCTTCTTGATGCACCCCAGCATCTTAGCCCTGCCCTTAGCTCACCCTCATACTTGGCTTTGCCCCAAAGCCACGGCCTCAGGACTTAATTTTCCCAGGCCCATCTTGAAGTCGGCAAGGCGCATCACACTACCAGGTTACAACGCCACAGCCCCTATATGCAGAGATCCCAAGATCTGCCTCCATCCTGGCCCCCAACCGCTGCTTCTCTGACCTCCACCTGCTCCCAGGTTCCAGGTGTGACTTTGGTCTCAGGGCCGGTCAGTCGTTCTCCTGGACAGCTTCTGAAACCCTCCATGGCCCTGCCCGTCCTCTAGCCATGCCCCTAAACCAGCTCCCTCCATCACTGGATCCAACACCATGGCCCCAGGCCCATCTCCATCCCAGTCACAGACCCAATACCCAGCAAATTAGCCAAGCCCGTGTTCCTCACCCCTGCCCCATGGTCCCACCGCTTCTGCAGGACTAACCCTTTAGGGGTCATAACCCCAAAGACTCCAGGCCCCAGCCAGTGCCTTGGGAGGATCTGTTCCTTCTCTTGGCCACCCCAGCCCGTTGGCTTTCTCAGGTCTAGTCCCTCTCCTGGTCCCACCCTAGACAAGCCAAGTCTTAGCCCCCAAGGCGGCACGTGTCTGTCTTAGCGCTGCTAGGGCACTTCCTTTCCAAATCACATGACCTAGTCTAGGCCTGAGTCTAGGGACCCTGGTTCCATACACCCTCTTGAGTCCCTACCCCAACGTCCCAGGTCCTGGTGCCTCCCTGTTTAAAAGACGGCCCTCCCCATGCCCTTGCCCCATTACTAGCCTCCACCCTCATGACACCAGGCTCTTTTTTAGGGCCCAACCCTCCCGCGGCCCCGCCCATTCTTCCCACCATGCCCCCACCAGGGGGCCTTGCCCCTCGCCTCGGCCCAGGGGTCAGGTGAGTCCCACACCTCCCGCTGAGATGCAGCTCCAAGGGCAGGCTGGGTACATGAAGGCAGCGTTCTGAATCTGGTCTTTGATGTCCTCGTCCTCGTTGAAGGGAAACGTGCCACTGAGGCTGACGTACATGATCACGCCCACTGACCACATGTCCAGCGAGCGGTTGTAGCCCTGGTTGAGCAGCACCTCGGGCGCCAGGTAGGCCGGCGTGCCCACCACCGAGCGCCGGAACGACTTCTCGCCGATGATGCGCGCGAAGCCGAAGTCACACAGCTTCACCTGCGGAGGCGAAGGGTAGAGGGTCTGAGGGTGTGTGGAGGTCGTGCTTCCCGCCCCTCCGCAAGTGTACCCCACCACGGTATTCCAGACAAACTCGAACGCTGGCTCGAATCCAGGTTCCTCTGTTCACTAGCTGGGTGACCCTGGGAAAGTGACTTCCTCTCTCTGTGCCTCAGTTTCCTCATCTGTACGAGGAGGAGGAGGACGAGGGGGAGCGTACCAACGCCTGTATCAGACGGCGGCCATGAGGATTCCCTGAGTTCATCCATCTAAGGCTCACAGGATAATAAATGCCCGGCATGCAGTGAGGGGTCCATAAAGGCTCCCTGCCACTAGACCTCTGTCACATCGAGCAGGTCTCAACCTCCCCGTGCCTCTGCTTCCTCTTTTGCACAGTGGAGATGCTAACAGTTCCTACTTAAAGGGTAGGGTGTATGAATTGAAATATATGGAAAATGTTAGGAGCAGCGGCAGGCATAGAGCGAGCCTCGGTGATCTCAGCGGAGGGACCTAACTTCTCCCAGCACGGGTTTTGTCTTCTGGATTGGGAACGCTAACAGCAGCTGCCGCTCAGGCTTCTCTGGGGATTAAATGGGACCGAACATGTAAATCGCTGATGATGGTATCCAGACGGTAACAGGTGAGAACTTACCTTGCCCTTGTTGGGGGCAGTCTAGGGTCATGGACAGGCTTTAGAGCCAGCAATATCTGGGTTCAAGGTCCTGTCTGCTGCTTACCAGTCCGTGGGCAGCTGCTACCTCTATTCACATACTGTCCCTCCCCTACACAAAACCCTTCTCGGGCTGACTATTGCCCTGAGCCTCTGTTGCCTTCAAAAACAGCCACACCCCAACCCCTGACCCAAATTTCAATGTGACGGCCATACCACGCTTTCCTAAGATCCTCTGCCTTTTTGACAGACCTCACAATCTTCTCCTTCTCTAAGATCCACCCTTTTCTACCTATCTTACAATGGAATATTATTCGCCCATAAAAAGCAGTGAAGCACTGACACATGCTACAACATAAATGGACCTTGAAAACATTAACTAAGTGAAAGAAGCCAGTCACAAAGACCACATATTATATTATTGTATATTCCATAGTTTAATTCCATTTATATGCAATGCTCAGAACAGACAAATCCATGGAAAGCAGATTAGTGGCTGTGGGTTGGGGGGATGATGGGACTGGAGGATGTTGGCTAAGAGGTATGAGGTTTCTTTTGGGGTGGTGAAAATATTCCAAAATTGATCTTGGTGATGGTTGCACAACTCTGAATACATTAAAAGCCACTGAATTGTATACTTTAAATCGGTGAATTGTATAGTATATGCAAAATATCTCAATAAAGCTGTTAAAAAAACAAAAGTACAGATCTTTCCACCACAGGGCCTTTGCACAGGCTGTTCCAGCTGCCTAGAACACTTGTCCCCCCAGAAAACTACTCCTTCTTCAGATAGGTTTTCTCTGACTCTCCACTGGGCTATACAGTTACGTGAGCTCACAGAACTGTGTCACGGAACTCATCACAGACATAATTACATTTTTGTGACAATTTGATCAACATTTGCTCTTCCTTCTATGATCTTTGCTGTCCAATATGGTGGCCACTGGCCACATGTGGCTGCTGAGCACTTGAATGTGGCAAGTGCAACTGAGGAACTACTTTCTATTTAATTTTAATTAATTTATATTTAAAAAGGGATCCTAGGCACTTCCCTGGCAGTCCAGTGGTTAAGAATCCGCACTTCCACTGCAGGGGGCATGGGTCTGATCCCTGGCTGGGGAACTAAGATCCCACGTGCCATGCGGTACGGTCAAAAATAAAAAATAAAAAGGGATTCTAGATTTTGTTATTGGAAAGCTTTTAAATATGCTTGGAACAATTTGGGTGTGTCAATCTACTTTCCCAACAGTTAATTTTATGAAATCTAAGTACAAAACCGAGTATTTCTGATAGAAATTTAATATCTGAATTGAGATGTGCTGTAAGTGTAAACTACACACCGGATTTGGAAGACAGTATGAAAAGAAAGAATATTTCATTAATAATGTTTATGCTGGGACTTCCCTGATGGTCCAGTGGCTAAGACTTCATGCACCCAGTGCAGGGGGCGTAGGTTCGATCCCTGGTCAGGGAACTAGATCCCACATGCTGCAGCTGAGAGTTCACAACTAAAGATACCACATGTCACAACTAAGATCCGGTGCAGCCAAACAAACCAATAAATAAATAAATAAATATTTTTTAATTAAAAAAAGTCAATAATGTTTATGCTGATTGCATGTTGAAATTGTCATATTTAGATATACTAGAATAATTATTAAAGTTAATTTCACCAGTTTCTTTTCACTGTTTAAAATGTGGCTACTAAAAAAAAAAATGTGACTACTAGAAAATGTAAAATTACACATATGGTTCACATTATATTTCTAGTGGATATTACTGCTCGAAGTTAGAGTTTCTCATTCACTGCACTATTGACATTGGGGAAAGATAATCCTTTGTTATGGGGCAGTCCTGTGCACTGTAGGGTGTTTAGAGGCCAGTAGTAACTGCCCCCCCAAACAGTTGTGACAACCAAAAATGTCTCCAACATTGTCAAATGTCCCCCGGGGGGCAAAATCACCACCCCCCACCCCGCTGTAAACCAGTGGGCATAGAGATGGGGATGTCTCTACTTACCACAGTTCCTAATGCCCCAGCATGGAGCCTGGCACAAAGTAGGCACACAGTAATTTTTAGTTGGTGACCAAAATGAACTTTTAAAATGAAATGAAATAATCACAAAACATAGATAATAAAGCAAAAACTTCACAGGGATGTGGAAGGGCTAAATGAGAACCTGTAACTAAAGGCCCTTAAACACAGTAGGCACACAATCAACTGTAGCTGTTAATAATCATCACTCTTGCTTAATCTGGTTCTGCCCCAAGGGGGTTCTCATTGACTAGTCAGAGGCTCATCAAAACTGTTTTCCTAAGAGACCACAGAAGAAATTACCAGTGGCCCCCCTCTGATATCTGTTCTCTGCTTCTCCCCTTAAAAAAAATCCTGAATTTTTAATGAGCCACATGGTCACCTAGAATGAAAACTACATTTCCCAGTTCCCTTTGCAGCCAGCCATGACCACGTGATAAAGTTCCAGTCAATGGGATGTGAGAAGTGCCCCATGCAACTTCAAAGTATTGCCTTAGGGAAGGTAAGGGGTGTATCCATTTCTTCTACCCTGTTTCTTTCCTCCCTTCCTCCCACCCCCATTATCTTTTTACAATTGGGGGCACAGCAGCAGCACATCATGGACCATGAAGACCAGGCAACACCATAGAGAGGCCAGAACAAGACAGCAGGAGCTGTGGTCCCAACACCATGGAACTGCTTTTTCACCCTCAAAATGCTTATGCTGGACCCTAC